ATTGATTTTTGATGAATATCTCAGAATCGAAAAGTTTTAGAAATATATTTGTTAGGATTCTTTGTAGAGGCTATTGAAGGCTGTCAAGAAAGTAATCCAAAATTTCTTGGTATTTCTCAGATTTTGAGTTAATCATCAAAAACTTTCTAGAAATTAAAAGCGAATTAACCCGGTTTATCGCTTCACTACTGAGTTCCATAGTGAAGAGGTACAACGTATTCACATAAAGCAGAAGTGAATTTTATTTAGGAGCAAATCTTTTAGGAACACTTTTCAATTTAAGAAACAGAGAAATTTATCTGCAACCTTTTCGTAAAATATGAGAAGATTCTCATAAAAATGTCCCTAGAACTATCAAATTAATAAATATTTCATGAATACATAGAATTTTTGGGAGAGTCGGGTAAGTGTGGAAATAGACGAAAAATAGTTTAAAGATAAATGAGCTCTCATAAACCTATTGAAAATTCCACACGGGGAAAAAAAGTTTTTTGACAAGTACGTCTTTGTATTGACACTCATTCTCTAAAATTTCAGATTGAAATAATATCTTTCACTAATAGAAAGAAATTTAGTCAACAAATCTAGTATTTCCCCGACAAATGATGAGCAATTAATTGATAACAAGATGAATTCTAGAACTAAATTAAGTAGTTTTCACATTTAAATTTATTAGATTTGAGAAAAGAGAACTTATAAGTCAATTCACTCCGTTAAACTTTGTTTGAGCAATTACTCTTTTTTTAAGAATAAACTATGATCTTTGGGAAGAGTGCATAAGTTCTTCATACAAGTGTTTCTTTTTAGAAATAATAATTTTTGGAATGTTTGTCTTAATGCTAGTACTGACGGACTTTTAGAAAAACTTTTTTTTCTCAATGCACAAATGGGCAATTTGTACCTGGCACTTTGTGATGTCCAACAGACCAGAGGGTAAGCACTCTAATTCTTTTTTTTTATTCATTGGGCAGTAACAGTCGTCATTCCCAATATCATTTGCTTCGTATTGGTATCCATTTAGAGTATTCACCACTACTTCCTTCGTAAAAGAAGGGTATAAAGATCTAAGGAATTCAATTCCAATTATGATTTTCCACGATAGGTGTTCAGCTCGAAAACCAGTGAGTTTAGTGCCGAATTTGATGGAGTACTCTTCTCATGAAGCTAGAGCTATTCATCAACTGAGATAATAACGCAATTAACTAGCTGATGTGATAAGTAGAAATAGATTGTTCCAAAACTTTTTCATTTATTTTATCATTTGTGATTATAAAGATGCATAAAAGAAAGCCTATTGTGAACATGCACCCAAAATAG